GGGGGGGGGGAGGGAAGAAGAAGAAGAAGAAGAAGAAGAAGAAGAAGTAGAAGAAGAAGATGCTGATGAAGAACAAGAAGAAGAGCAGAAGAAAAACGAAGTAATCCGGGAGAAGATAAAGATAGAATATTGCACCTCTAAAAAGAGGGCGAAGGAGAGATTGAGGGAAAAGGAAAAGCAACAACAGCACCTCTTTAAGTTAGTTGGAGTGGTTAGTTCAGTTCAAATCAGTTGGGGGTGGGAGGAGTTGGTGGTTTTGAGCATTGCGAGAGACGGAGCCCTGAAAGAGCCATGACATCTCTTTCGATGTCAACCAGCTCAATCCGGTTTAGTGCCCTCCACGACCACCTCAGCGATTCTAGAACGAGTACGGAGTACTTTGGTGTTATTAGGTAGTTGAAGGTAAGTTATTGGAAGTACCTACGTAGTGATAGCTGAGCCTAAGTACACTGTAGGTAATCCGAGCTCAGTAAAAGAGTTGACCGAAACCAGGAACGAACCACAGCGACTTGATCGACGCGCGGTCGCAACTCCCGAGTTCCCCATAGTCCATCCATACTTCCAACCAGTGGAACTGGTTGGTCTTCTCCAAGTCCACTCCCACTTGAATGTCCAGGAATGTCCATACTCCCCAGCCCGAGTACATATAGAGGACCCCTTTCTATGAGGGTCCTGGCAGAAGCTTCAGAAAGATACGTATGTAAATTGAATTTGGAGTGGGCTATACACCCATACGCATCTCAATTCCAACATCCCACATCCACATGCACACACTGTACTTTGTACACATCCTCAAATTGGGATAAGAATAATAATAATAATAATCATCATCATCATCATCATCATCATCGTTGGTCAGTGTGGAAGTGAATAATACTGCTGACTAACGCCTTGGCAGGTGTAACTTAACTACTATGTGTATGTAACTAGCCTCTTGCGTTAATCTCATTCGTTTACGTCCCAATTAGTCCAAATTCGAATGACTAGTTTGATAATCAGATGCGAGAGATCGATGGTCTTCGATCGACCAAATCTGATGGATTGTGATATAAATGACAACGATTGCAATGATCAGCTGATTCTTTGAGATACGAAGCAAATCAATCAATTTCATTCCGAAATATCGTAAGGGTATAACTCCCGTCTTCCTGCAAACTGCCTTGGATCCACACCCTCCTCCCCCTTCCCTTCTGCTACAAGTCTATATACATACACGGTACTTATGCGTACCAGCAGAAACGGTGGGGTATCAGTTCAATGGATGGAGTCGAGGAAACACCTCCCTCCCGTGCATTTCAGACAAAGCGACAAGCGACTCTCGTACCATGCAAGGCTTGACCAGCTCACAATCTCGCTCGTTATCGATGACAATCAACGGCCAGAGTATACAGTTGAGGGTCTTCCTCCCGTATTGTTCTTCATTCAAGGCCAACGCCCGACCCTCGAAGCCTGTCTGTCGTCCACTTGCTTGCTCTCATCGCTTTACTGATCACCATTAATCGAAGGTGGTCTTCTTGCCCTGGGATTCAACAATGGCACCACTAAGCTTCTGCACTGTGTCCTGGTCGTATCTTGTATATTCGGGCTTCGCTTGCTTGGCTCTAGGAGGTCGTGCTTGGCGAGGCTGCTCTTCGGTGGATTCGAATTCTCCGGCCTCGGCATCGCCGGTCTCTGAGTTGTTATTTCTCTTGCCCTCGCCGTCCTTTCCGAACCGTTTCTTGTAGCGAGTAGTGGCGTCTTCGGCGAACTCCATACGCAGACGCCGTCCCAGAAGGAAGTTCACCCAAATCTTCCTCTGCCGGGGCTTCCTGGGCTTTTTGCGCTCTTCTGGTTCGGAGTCGTCTTCCTCCTCATCATCCTCTTTCACTAGCACATAGCCCTTCACCGCTGCTTCAGCTGCGGCAAGATCCTCAAACACCACCCAAGCGTAACCCTTGCATTTGCCAGAGTCCTGGAAGGTCGCCACATGTACATTAGCCACAGTACCGCATTGAGCGAAATGTTCCTCAATGGCTTCTTTGGTGGCGTCAAAGCCGAGGTTGCCGACAAATATGCGTTTGGAGGGGGCATGACCGGATGCTGCAGAGCCCGTTTGACCGTCTTCCTTGGGCTTGTCTGGTCTTCCAGCAAAGCTCTTTGCATCCTTGATAAGCACACGACGACCCGTTAGGAGCTGCTCACTGAGGCCAATTGCCTCTTCGGCCGCCTTCTGAGTGGAGAAGTCGACATAAGCGAAGCCCTTGTTCTGAGATTTTCCGAACTTTTCCGCGCCCTTGGGCATATGTATGCGTGTAATGGTCGTGTCCGCGAAGGAACAGTTGCTCGTCATGAAGGTGCGCAGATCATCCTTCGTGACAGAAAAGGCAAGATTTCCAATCCAGACACCGTGATCTGAACGCTTTTGGGGGGCAGTGGTGGGTTTTTCGGCAGCGGCCACCGCTTCAGTCTCTGTGGTAGACTCGGAGGGCTTTGCAGTGGCTGCTTTCTTCGCTTTACGCAAAGCTTTCTTCGATGGCGGCTCAGGGGCAGAGACGTCGATCTCGATCTCTTCAACGTCTGTGAGCTTGCGCTTCTTTTGGGTTCCTTCCCCAATGCTAGCCATGACTATGATTGCACAAGTTCGGGACCTGACAGAACTATGCTGTATAAGTGAGTTCGAAGGTCGGAATCAAGAAGTTTGAAGAGTTATCACAACAAAGAATGTGAAGTATGCGTGAATAGCTCTTGTCGCAGTCGGAGATATTTTTTTTTTCTCCATTCGCTATCGCTTTTCTTTGCGGCGGGCAGAAACACTCCGCCTTATCAACTCTGGGCTTGGCGGAATCCTTCCAGCCCGATTCGCCGGTCCTGCAAAGGGAGTGACCCCAGTGTCAAACACTCACATTGAATCTCACTCCTCCCTTAATCAGTCTCCCTAGCCTTCTAATTCTAGAACGCCTCAACCCCCTTTCAACAACAGGAAAAGGCAAAATAATTGAACCCACTCTTCATTTTCCAGTGTGCTTCGTGTTCGTCATGTCCCAAACACTTGACGAGACAAGATCGGTGGCTGAAAGTCTGCCGGATGCCTCCGTCGGCGCCCCTACTCGGCAGTCCTACAAGTCTTTCAAGTGAGCATAGTTCTATAGCAGCATGGTCCTTAGGCAACTAGCTAATCATGATTGCCAATCAGAAAGAAGTTTGCGAAGCTCAAAATGAAGTTCGAAATGCAGATGGGGGAAAGCGAGGCGCTCATTCGCGAAGGATTGCGCATCGAGGATCTTTCTAAGAGAATCCAGGAACAGAATGAGTATGCATTCATCGCCCTCGCCTGATTGATTTCCATCGATACTGACAGTGCTACAGTCAACTTCTAGAGGTTCTGCTTGAATTCAACGACAGCCTCCACGTGTCTCCCAGTTTACGATTCGACTTGAGTGCGCCAGGAGATGAGACCTTCCTGCCACCTCCCGATCGAGATATTCCAGCCTCCTACAATGATCCCGCCATCGCGGGATCCATGCTAAAGGATGCCAAAGGTCGTATGGCTGCTGGTCGGATGACTGCTCATGCCTATCGTGAACTGGAGGACGATGTTCGGCGAAGCCAAGCGTTTGCACCGCGCCTACAGTACACGTCCCTAACACAGGTGCCCCATTCTGCACCCTTGTCCGACAATCAACCGGAGGATCATTATCCCGCCCACGAGCTTGGATTCCTGACTCCTGAGCATGAGACCGAGTACTACCTGGCGTTGGATGCCAAACTGGGCGATGAGAGTGCTATTGAGCAGCTGGTGTCTATGCCGAGTAAATCATCCCTCGTCGAACGTACGCGGGATGCCAATTTACGTATACCGATATCCGTGCATAATTGGCTTCGACGAAATCAGCCTCAGATTTTTCTTCAAGATAACGAGAACGCTTCCGAGAAGTCTGGCTCTCGGCCCTCGCGTGCGTCTAAGAGAGCCACGGCCCAGGCTCGAAAGGACGAGGATATGTATGACGACGATGGCGCTTTTATGGAGACTGCATCGACCACTGGGGGTGCCAAGGGCAAACGTAAGCGGGACGAAGATAGTGGATATCGGCCCAAGGGTGGCAGCAGCCGTTCAAGCCGGAAGAAGAAGGACAAGGACGATGATGGTTCTACTCCTGCGAAGCGGACATCGAAGCGGTCCTCAGGCATAAATGCTTGAGCCCACAGCATCTCATCTAGCGTAATTGTGTTTAGGAGGGGAGGCTACGTATAGTAGCTATAGAGGATCTTATGTTGGTCGGCTTTGTACTCTAATCAAGCCTGCACTTCGATAAAACGTTATGCAGAACTGACATCTTCCTCTGGCGACTGAGCTTCTATTCTACGTAGTCAATCAATGTTCCTAGTCCTTTTGTATTTGCCAAAAAGCAAAGAACCAGAATAGAAACATTAAGGATAAAAACTATTCAATGCAAAGGTGCAATCATCAATGGTAAGGGTTGCGGCAGGCTATACATCCTTGATGTGAATGCTAAAGGAGCGGGATTCACGTGCATCTCCACCAGAAGTTTGTCTGGTTTGTCCCCGGTCCGGAAAGTCTTCACAGAATGACCGACGAGAATGCAACGAATGTAACCACCTCCCAGCATTTTCCGTCCGACTCCATTGGACAAATTGAACCTTGCCACCTAAATCATTGGTTCTTCGCTACTTGATACCTTTAAAGCATGGCTATTACAATTCTGCCCCCGGTGGTGGAAGATGTTGACCTGCCCAATTTCGACTCCGACTCAGATGCCATGTCCGTCGATTCGGATGGCGGCGTAGAATTGGCGGCAGGCAGTTCATCCAGACCCAACAAGCGTCAACGGTTGGTTGAAGGCACCAATATTGTCGCCGGAGTCTTGACGCCGGGTGAGGTTGTCACTGATGATCCGCAATGGATGAGGTTCGTAATCCTGCAACAACCGTCATCTCTTCTTTTTTGCCCACCATGGCTAATGCGTTTCTGTCCCACCCCCGGCGTAGAGGTCATGGTACCTATACAAACCCGCTCTCAACTTCAATCATCGCCACTGTTGCCGGTACCGTGCAGAAGACCAACAAGCTGCTTTCCGTCCAGCCCCTACGTGCACGATACACTCCAGAGATCGGTGATCTGGTGGTAGGGCGCATTGTCGAAGTACAGTCCCGCCGGTGGAAAGTCGATGTCGCCGCTCCATTACTCGCTCAACTGCCTCTCTCGGCAATCAACCTACCGGGAGGTATTCTCCGCCGCCGCACAAGCGCCGACGAACTGCAGATTCGAACGTTCTTCAGCGAAGGAGACTTGGTCGTGGCTGAGGTGCAGAGTGTACATTCGGATGGAGGCGCTTCGCTTCACACGCGGTCTCTGAAATACGGGAAATTGAGGAATGGCGTGTTCCTCGCTGTGACGGGCACGGGCGGCAGTGGCGCATCTAGCTCGACTGTCAAGGGTGGTGTAGGAAGCGCGGCAGCTGCGACGGGCGCAGTCGGCGGTGTGGTTCGGTCACGGAGGCAGGTTTGGACCGTCAGCACAGCCAATGGGGGCGGAGATGTCGATGTGATCCTCGGGGTGAACGGCTATATCTGGATTTCGAAGCACGCAGACGGTGCGACGGCGGCCTCGTCGACGACAGAAAACGTTTCAATCACACGTATGGAAGAAATGGTGTCGAGCTCGATCTACTCCAGTCAGAACGACGAGATCCCGCCACAGACGAGACGCGAGATTGCCCGGTTGGCGCAGTGTATCCGAGTGTTGGTGAACGGAGGTATCCGGGTTGATGAGGAGACAGTCATGAGCGCATATGAGGCTAGTCTTCAGGTGGATCTGGAACTCGGCGATGACGAGGATGAAGATGACAGGCGCCGAGAAGGAAGAGAGTACCTGGAGGGCAGCAAAGCGCAGCGTGTTCTTGAGTTGGTCTTGCAACGGAAATAAGGGTGTTTGAGGGTAATTTCTTTTTTGTATACATAGATGACTACGATTACTCTTGATAAGATGTTAAGATACCCCCTCACTCCCTTCTACTACTGGATCTCCTCTTTCCCTCCGTCTTGCAAGATAAATCACAGTCAACAATAACTATGAACCTCAGTGTGATTAACTATCAATAGTTGTATGGGTATGTAATGTCTAGGAAAAATGATTGCCTTCTAGCGATAAGGCCTAACCCCGCATCACGTGGTGATAGACCGGGCATTGATTGGCAGAGTCTTATTAACAGAGAAAGAGAGATAGAGGACAATCAGAACTTTGGTGAGAATGGCTCCGTAAACGCACGAAACCACATGCCACATGCCACATGCCCCCATGCCCAATGCAGAAGGGCAAATAACAAACAAATGAATGGTCAGCAAAGAACTTGGAGGACTGTCTGTAATGTACTGTACGGTACGGTACACAATAGGGCCGAGGACGGGCGGGAACCACTCACTCACCAGTTGACTTGACTGACTTATCCGTCTTCTATGCGGACTGCTTTTCTTCTTCTTCTTCTTCTTCTCTTTCTTCTCCTCTAATCCACTTTTCTCTCTCTCTCTCTCTCTCTCTCTCTCGTTTTTCTTCCTTCAACCGAAGAAGAATCTTTCCTTCTCTAACTTACCATGTCATTTGTCTCCGAAGAAATCTTTTTACAATCGACATCTTCTATACCTCTAGCATAGCTTCTTTCCCTCACCTCTCTATTCTCATCAGACAACCCTTACTTCCTCCTCGACCCATTCTCCAAATCTAAGGCTATATAACTCGCCTGTCAGGGTCCAAACAAGCTCAGGGAAAAAAAAGGACCAACCTTTTCCCCCTTGATTTGTCACATCGGCCATTCTCTTCACTTCTCTGCTCTGCCTACTACAATCATACCATGCCAGACTTACGTCGTCAGGTGTTGGAGAGCGGCAAAACGATCTCTCGCAAGGCCGCCTCTCGTGAAGGCTCGCGCCGCACATCGCGCACCGCCTCCGCCCAAAACTCTCGTCCTTCGTCGCGGCCGACCAGTCGCTATGGCTCGGATGAAGAAGATGCAGGAAACCTAAGCGATGAGACCACTGCTTTGAGGTGAGCTCTTTTTCTCTTCTTCCCTTTCTGCCGGTCATTCTCTATCCTTTCCTTCCCTATTCTGTGTGCTCTTTGCGCCGCCCGCTTCCCCGGGATGACATCATCGTCAACTTTTGGAAATTTCTTGGCCTGACTAATGCTGATTCGGACGTTATAGCATTGGCTCGTTGGATGACCTCACTGAAGATCCCGATCAGGACACCAACAACTGGACGCAGGAACTCGACGATGTTGTTGCTGACATCCTCGACCGCAAGCGTAGCAGTATTCTAAGTCGTGAGGAGGCCTACGCCGCATTCTGTCGCCTGGCCAAGTCCCACTACGTCGAAGATCACATTCGTAGCCAGGTCTCTGATCTACTGGCGGCCTTCTGCCGCAGTGTCAAGTTCGAGTCCAGCGTGCGCGAGACAACTCTAGCCCTGCGCGCCCTCGAGCTCTTGGCCATCACGGCCTTTGACAACACTATCTATGAAAATGTCGAGTCACTCCTATCCCGCAGCATTCGGGACTCCGCCTCGACCTCGATCAAAGCCGCCGCCATCCACTGTCTTGGTGTCTGCACTATGTTCGGTGGTGCCGGTGAAGACGGCATCCTCGATCAGATGACCTTCTTCCTCGACATTGCGGCGTCCGATGGCCAGTCTATTGACGCCCCGGATGATGCCAACAGTGTAACGGCCGCGTTGCAGGAATGGGGAATGCTCGCGACAGAGATTGACGATCTCGAAGGTGAGAGTGAGGATGCTGTGCAAATCTTCATGGATCAGCTGGACAGTGGCGATTCGGGCGTGCAAGTCGCCGCCGGGGAGAATATTGCACTCCTCTATGAAAAGAGCTATACCGAGCAGGAAGACGACGAAGACGAGGAAGACGAGGAAGGTCATTCCAATGACGCCGACTCCGACGAAGAGTCCTTCTTATCGCCCGGCGAGCGGTCCGGCCCCAAGCTCATCAAGCGCTACAATGCCTACCACAACACCCACGAGCTCGAACAGCAATTGCAGTCGTTGGCCACGATCCACAACAAACGCATCAGCAAACGCGACAAGAAGAGCCTGCACAGCAACTTCACCTCCATTTTAACCACCGTTACCAACCCACGGCGAGGGCCCATGTATAACACCGCCATTGATCAAGACACGAACCGGCGTTACGGCAGCAAGTTGACCGTTAAGGTCGGCAGCCAGGGTGTCATGAACATTGACCGGTGGTGGAAGTGGATCCGTCTGAACTCGCTCCGTCGCATCTTGCAGGGTGGGTTTGCCGCCCATTACTTCCAGGGAAACCGTGCCGTCCTCGATAATCTCCCCGTGATGGTGCGCATGAACTTCGCCTCTTCCTCGGATCGTAGCGCTGCGAAACGCGCCGCCAAATCCCGGAATAACCGCCGATGGGCCGTCCATGATCACTCCGATGAAGAATATTAGTCGAACTTTAGACCTTCGCGATATGCGCCTTTTCCTTTACTATGTTGCATG